CGCTGGCGACGGCGGCGCGGTGCGTTGAAAAGAACCCTTTGTGACGAGAGCCCAGTCTTGCGACCTACTTTCTTTCCGTGGCGAAAACTATCTTAATATTGAATTAATATAATAAAATTTGGTGACGCCACAGTATCAACAGGGTCAAATGAAGAATGCTGCCGGTTGCTTTTGACATGAATATTTACATGCGCTTTTTAAATGAATCATTCATATTTTTAAAGTCAAAGTTCAATTCGTCACATCTCCATGAAATTCTTTCTATAAAGACCTCATTTATAAAGATCAGTGTGTGAGAGTCCTAAAAGGTATGTATGCTACTGAAATAATACAGGAAACGATAATATTTAGCGAGTCACATAATCAATTTCATGTGACATGTCAGATATGATATATGCAGATGCACATGTCTTCCTGAGCTCCAGATTTCTTACTTTCTCCTACTACACACTAATATGAGTAAAAGTAGAAAGCAGCAGTTTAATATAAGAATATAAGAAATAATCAACTTTCTGTGGCGGACATTCAATTTTGATTTTGAATACTCTGCTAACAAATACTTAACCCCCCACTCCTCTCATATCTAATAAAAGGGATCTATTTTTGAAACAATTTTAAAAGTATTGAGGCTTTATGTAAAGTATGATCAATTTTGTCATCAATCATTTTTTGGTATCAAGAATCTACAAAATGTGGATTCTGACTACACAATGTGATTTATTACGTGTCGGAACAAGATTAACATGATTAACATTAAATGTTACTAATTAAATTTATTTTACCATACCGCAAACTAGGCAGCCATTTGTAACACTTTTATGATTATTCTAATTTACTTTGCCCTGTCATGCTTATAAATTACTGGCTCTAATAACTCATAATTTGGTGAGCTCTGTTTTTCTTGACGATCTCGCATGAGTTCGACATTCAGCATATGTCACCTTACCTGTTTCACATAGATGTGTAACAGTGCAAATATCATGATTCCTGGAACTTCTGTGAAATTTACTATGTACTAAATTGATGGCAATTCAATGAAATATCAGCTCTTTTTTTTCCCCCCCTTCAAATAGCAATTAACATTTATTGCCTCAACCTTGTTATTTATAAATGATTCTCCAGTCTTTGAACATTGTTAAACCGTACAGCGTTGATAAAGTTCATAAGCTTACGGAATGTCTTCTCGATTGATTCAATGATTGTGTTCTCCAAAAGGAGATGTTCCGAGTCCTCTTTTAGTGTAATTTGTGAACCTAATGTCCATGCAAACTATAAATGTTCCCAACTTGCTAATTATTTAGTCCATTATTTTGGAAATCCCTACATCTGCTTTATATAATCACGTTGTGGCTCTCCATCACTAGGCTTCAGATGAAACCTCTATTCATGACTACTATTTCCTTTAAATTAACAATTTAAAATTCTTCTACGGAACTAACCTCTGTAAACCTACGAACACAAAAACTAAATATTTATAAATGCAAAATTCCTACACAATAACAAATGTAGCTATTAATAAAAAAATGCAAACATTTACCCACTTAAAACTCAAATACAAACAATACTTTTTAACCTACACTATTATGGACTGATCAAACAAACATTCACCCACAACGTAAATCAACTATGGCAAATTAATATGTTATAATGTTTATTACCATCTTTGATTTCGCTTCAATTTTCAACTCTCCCCTATTCAATTCCATGTAAATGACACCAGGTCATGCTGTACATCGACAATCCAGTACCTGTCTAGCATCCATCACGGCGCACCTACATGTTTATAGTTCGTTGCTATGCTATGCGTATTCGTTGGAATTAAACATTCTCAATTCATCAATTTTGTCGTATCACACCCGTGTGACATTCTGGTATGTCACATTATGCAAGTACATAGCAAGCAAGAAAGTAAAAATTTGGATCCATTTTTGAGAAAATTTTAATAATATCCCAATAATAGTTATGATATACATACAATAAATGGGTTTCTGTGTCAGTTTCAAGAAAAGACTGTTGTTCAGAGAGGTTTCACTGTAAGTTGCCATTTCTTATTTTCTGTGTAGACTGAGGAAGAAAAGGTGGTGTTGGAGAGGAAGACCCGCGAGGCAGAACGATTAACTGCTAGACTGGTGGATGAGAGTGAACGACGGGCTGTTGAAGCCCAGCGCCTGAAAGATGAATTGTTGGCAGCCCGACTGGCTGAGAAACATGCAAAGGAAAAGCTCCTTCAGTTCCTGTCTACTCCTGCCCCTCATTCTCCAGTAAGTACAAAGGAGGACATTGAATTCAATGAAAACTTACTACATTTGCACAAATATTTGAAAAGCATTTAATCACTTTTAGTGATAAGGTTGCTAAGGTTCCTTGTGATATACAATAACTAAGTAAAGATTTCAGAATTCAAATTATATGAAGAAATAATGTGGGTCCCCTTTGATCACAAAAACAGGCAATCAGACTCATTGGCAAAATGTTCCATACAAGTCATTATAAAAATGTATTTATGTATCTTATTGTAGATTCGCCAAGACATTGAATAGCTTTAAAGCACATCTATCAGGTTGTTCGATAAACTGCTTTCTGATATTTGGAAAATTAAAGATTTAAAACTCATTTAAATATGTGGTGGTCCATAACTATTTTTATAGGACTGAAGAAAAGTTAAGTTTCATATTCTAAGTAGTAAGAATTCTACTATCATTGTCACATGGAATCTAAAATTATTAATTAATGCTGTGACTTAATGTGATACTTTTAATACTTTTTGTGTTTTATTGTTATGTGTGTGTCAAATAAGAGTGTATTCAGTGTTAAATTTTTGTGTATCTTATATTGGTTTGTTATTGTTCTTTTGATCTAACATTACTGTTATCTACATTACTAAATGAAAAAAATTATTACAGGCTCTAATGAATTGACTTTGCCAATATAAAGAATTCAAGCTTTGACACTAATGTTAAGTGGCAAAGCTTGCACTGTTTATATTGACAATGTCAATTCATTGGATCCTGTAATATATTTGCTGGTGTGTGAGCGCGTATGTGATGAACGATTTATGAACTGACGTGACAGAGCTAGTGGGGTGGTGGACTTGGTCAGGCGGGAGAAGGAAGGGGCAGTAGATGGACAGAAGTGCCTAAGGGGTTTGTGGTGATGTGACATTCTCACTAGTGTCTATTGTTTTGTGTACACCTTTAAGTTGTAAATAAACCAACATTTCGAATTTATACAAATCACTGAATAAACCTACACTCACACACGCATGCATTCAGAATGCAAAATTTGTTTAATTTACTTAATTATACTTAATTAACATCTTGAAAATTTGTAGTGAAAAATCAACAAGCAAAACAAAATAAAAGTATCATCTAAATTTATCAAGAAACAAAGAGAACTTATAAGCCAAGTGGAAACTGACGTTAACATGAGTTAAATTGTCAAATTATAAATAATTAGGAATTAAATAATGGGACACAAAAACAAAAATTAATCTATACAGTGAACAATTAACAAAACTGAATGAGAGT